CATAAGCTGCGAAGTACGGCTGGCGCTTGCAACAGGACTGCACATGCTGCGTAGGTTTCCAGCAAACTCAAGAGCTCTCTATACATCAGGCGGCTCATGGATTTCTGCAGGTTTATAGGGGTTTAGGGTTTAGGGGTTGGGGGATTAAGGATTTAGGGTTCAGGGGTTAAGGGTTCAGGCGGTTAGGAGTTTAGGGTTTATAGGGGTTAGGAGTTTAGGGTTTAGGGAGTTTAGGTGTTAGGGGTTTAGGGGTTTCAGTGGTTTAGGGTTTAGGGAGTTTGGGGCTTAGGTGTTAGGGGTTTAGGGGTTTCAGTGGTTTAGGGTTTAGGGAGTTAGGGGTTTAGGGGTTTAGGGGTTTAGGGGTTTCAGGGGTTTAGGGGTTTAGGGGTTTAGGGGTTTCAGGGGTTTAGGGTTTAGGGGTTTAGGGGTTTTAGGAGAATGAATCTTTTGGTCGGGGCAGGAGTGAGTCCCAGCATGGATACCGATACCCACTACCCAGAGGCCCCATAGTAGTTCCTTTTTTGGGGATTCATGTTTAGAATCCTATAAGGTAACCCCAAAAAAGGAACTACTATGGGGCCTCTGGGTTCCTTTTTGGGGTTCATATTTAGAATCCTATAAGGTAATCCCCAAAAGGAACTACTATGGGCCTATGGGGCCTCCGGGTACGTATGTCCTATGTAGCCTGGGACACGGAGCACCGCACCCATAGCTTTAGGCCCTGAGCTCTGAGAAGGTGTGAGCCTGCACGTAAAGCCCTTGAAAGCAAAACGCCTAAATGGGAGTTTCCGAAAATAAGGGGTACCTTATTCGGCGGCCTTATAATAATAAGAATCCTACTATTTTTAGGGTGCTATATTACGGTCCCCTACTTTCGGAAACCCCCAAATCCTGCACCCTGAACCCATAGCCCGAAACCCTTTTTCAAGGCCGTGAAAGCACTTACAGAGCCACTGAAAACAAACAATATAGGGGCCTTACTAGTTAGAATAGCGTTTAGGTGTATTTTATACTATAATTAAAGGAAGGAGGCCCCAAGACCTTATTTAAACCATTAAGGCCCCCACATTACCTCTAAATTACAACCTTCTGAGGATGCTTAGAAGGCTCCCAGGAACTTCTAAATAAATATTGAAAAGCCTTTGTAAGAAATTGTTCGAAGATCTCTTTAAAAAATACATTGCTTAAACCATATACACCCTAATTCGAAAAACTCTTCAAGCACCTCTGTGACTTCATTGCCAGGTCAAAGTCCAGCTGGCTGAGGATCAGCTTGATCGCGCGCGCATCGAGCCGCTTGTAGGATGTGGCAAAGCGGGGTTTAAACCCTAAGCCCTAAACCCTAAACCCTAAACCCTAAACCCTAAACCCTAAACCCTAAACCCTAAACCCTAAACCCAAACACAAAACCCTTAACCCTGAACCCCTGGGTTTAAGGTTCAGGCTGGTGGTTCCTTCAAGGGCTCCCGTAGGAGGTTCCTGGGTTACTATAAGGGTTTTTGCGCTTCGATTCTTCAGGGATCTAGAGGTACAGGTTTCCATGAGGGTTCCGAAAAGGAAAAGGCTATTGCAAGTGCATTACGCGGGTGAGGGATTTAGAGTTTCGGATGTCAGGTTCAGGGTTTCAGCGAGAAGCTTAAACGGAAACGAAGAAGGGTATTTGTGAAGGCAGGGTAGCATGGGGGTTTTGTAGCTATTTGTTTGTTGTTATATGGCTTTTGGTAGTTTGTGTCTCCCTTTTTCTGGGTGTTTAGGTGAAAATCGGCATTTGCTTGTCAAGGGGTCCCGAGAACCAGGATCCGATTTTTCAGGGTCTGTGTTTGAGTCCACCGGTGCTCATGATTTCTAGCAGTCGTCGTCGTGGTGGTGGTGGTGGTGATGCCGATGCCCATGCTAATTCTTCTGATGATGATAATGATATACTGATGGTGCGGCGACGATGATGGTGAAGAAGCAGAAACATTCGGTGATGGTGATAGTGCGGCCACACCGTAAGCTGTTCTGTTTTGTTCGGAAAGCATTTGCAAGGACTGTGGCTTAAGGTTTCCAGGGCTTGGGTAAGCAGCTCTTGTTTGTGCCCTCTCTTGTTGTGTGGTCTCCGTCGTAAGACTGAATCATAGGACATAGGACACAGCGCGCCCGTGTCCTACGATTCAGTTCCGGCCAACGAAAACTTCCCCAACTGCAAAGCACCAAAAAGGCAGCTGCACAGAGATGACAAGAAGCGCAAGGAAGCTGGTATGGTCAAGAACACCATCAAGGCTCCAATCGGTGTGTGTTTGAGCTTCTGCTTTTCTTTCAGTAGAGGCCGAAACCCTAAACCCTAAACCCTCCGTGGCTCTGTGCGTTTTCGAGGCTTCTCTGTTGGCAGGTTAGATTCAGGGTTTAATATGGTTTTTTGTGCGAATGCCTGAACACTAAACCTTAGGCCTAAACCCTAAACTCTAAACCCTAACTCTAAACCCTAAACCCTAAACCCTAAACCCTAAACCCTAAACCCTAAACCCTAAACCCTAAACCCTAAACCCTAACCCTAGGCCCTAAGCTGCTTTGGGAACTAGAGCCCTGATGGACGAGGCATTGAAAATGGAGATGCAGACGCCTGGCCTTTCTTCAGGTTTAGGGTTTAGGGTTTGGGGTTTAGGGCATGTTCGTTGGTTTCGAGGTCACTTAGAGGCGGGGGTTTAGGGCTTCGGGTTCAGGGTTTAGGGTTTAGGGTTGGGGTTCAAGGCTTATAGGTTTAGGCTGTGTACTCCTTTCGCGGCGTATACAAACCCACCATTGTTCGACAAGTTAACCTGTGCAGGGCAAGCCCATAAGACAAGTAGGTTGGGGTCTTCGGGGTTAGGATATCAGGGTAGCAAGGTGTTAGAGTCGTAGGCTATTCCTGAACCGTAGGCTCTCAGGCAGTATGTGTGTTAGTTGTTTGAGTTTTGGGATTCAAGTTTACGACTGTACAAACAACAGCTGTCATAAGGCATGCTAGGTATAGCATAACCACTGAATCCCTTGACTAGGCTGTTCTTGAAAGCCAGCTGCATGTGTTGTGCCGTATGTGCTGGGCAAAACGCGCAGTACTATCCTCTCGGAAGGAGGACCTCTCTCATGACGCATTTCGACAGCCCCTGAACACATAATGTATCAAACCCGCCGTGACCTCTTACAAGTGCAACGATTTAAAATCAGACATACGCCAAAACCCCAAAAGCTAGACCCTCCAACCCCAAACCCAAGCCCTAAAACTTAAGCCACAAAGCCTATCAGGCCCTAAAGCCTCAAGACAGCTCAGGAAGTGCCAACAGCGATTTGACTACCTACAGGCTCTCTTCGAGTCCGAGCAGGTGCAGACTAAGCGGGGTCAGGACTTGCTTCTTAGGTCTGACGAGTTAGTAGCACTATTCTTTAGGGTTTAGACTTTAGGGTTTAGGGTTTAGGATTTAGGGTTTAGGGTTTAGGGTTTAGGGTATCATATACAATATCACAACATGGTAGAAGATGATATGAAAGCCTACTCTAGTCATGAAGGAGCCGATACTTGGGTCCAAGGTTTAGCATTTGATGGCCAGGATTTCAGGTCTGTGGTTTGGAGTTTAGGATACAGGGTTTAGTGTACTGTTGGGACAGTGAGTCCGGCGATGCCCTAAGCCCCGTGAAACCCTGAATCTAAACCCTCGGCCCCCGGAGTCCCAAAGCCCCTAAATCCTAAAACCCTAAACCCTAAAACCCTAAAACCCTAAACCCCTAAAACCCTAAACCCTAAAACCATATACCCCAAACCCTTAAAACCCGAAGCCCTAAACCCTAAAACCTTGAACCTTAACCTCTCAACCCCAAGACTTTAGACCCTCAAGAGGTTGAGCCCTACAAGCCCAAACCTAAAGAGACTTAAACCCCTCACCTCCCCCCTAAAGCCATAAAGCCCCGAGCCCCTAAAGTCAAAACCAAACCAAAGAGGCCCTGTTGTTTTCCAAAATATATTTTTGTGATTGATTTTGCCATTTCATATTATTGCAGGTACTAGTATTTTTATACATTGAAAGACCAACATACCGTCAAGCACCTCTAGCTGCTTAGCTCCCTGAACCCACAAGCTCCCGCCCCCTCAAAAACAACACCAAACAAGACATGGAATGTGAAGTTCTGGGGAGGTGCAGCTGACCACATCCGTGCACCGAAACTTGGTTTCTTGCAACGGGGTTGCTGTTTTTGTGTTGTGGTTTGGAGGGTTTTTCTCGCAGTCTCATAAGACAAGGTTTCGTGTGGGATTTTATAGGCTTGATCAAGTGCTTGATAAAGAGTTTGGACACGTGTAGATGGGGCTCTATACGGCCTTGATAGGGTGTGAAGGAGCTGCTTTCAGGCAAGCATGAACGGGAACATGCATAGCATGCGGTTTACTGTATAGTATATAGCCTCATCATGGTAACGTACCTTAAGTCTCTCAAAACTCTTGCAAACAGCATTTTGACCCAAAAAGGTTGAAACCCCCGAATACCCTAAACTCTAAACCCTAAGGGAAAACGGTACACTGGAACTTACAGCCCTGAAGCAGCCCAGGAAAGTCCTCGGAGCTGAAAAACCGACGGATGGACTTAGCCAGCACCTTCGTGTCCTGGCCTGGTTGGGTGGTATAGAGTTTAGGGTTTGCGATGTAGGGTCAGGGTTCATGGTTTCAGGGCTTCTAATTTAGGGGCCTGCATCATTACCGATACTATTTTGGGGACTACTTGTTATAATTATAGTATGATGGGCCCCGAAACCCTATTCTAATTATTAAGGTCCCTATATTTGGGCGCTATAGGCTTAGTTTCCTATGGCTCAGGGCGAACAAGGATGTTTAGGATGTCTTTAGCACTCTTTTATGATATGCAGAAGACCGTAATGTTGATTGTGGGAGTACATTTGTTTTATCCATAAAGCGAACACGGAGAGGATTTGTGTGTTGTGGTTTATCATGCTATATCACATCATGTCATTTCGTCCTTTTGTACAATCTATCATCGCATTTTATTGTGTATGTCAGCGTTTTTATAGTGAATCCCAGAAAGTTGGAACATGGATTTAGGAGGAAAATTGCTGGGCTCCCCTATACTTTACATTAAGGGCATGAGGATAATGATGTTCCAGCATTCTGGCTTCTGATCTGTAAACCCTAAACCCTAAACCCCTTTACCCTAAACTCCTAAGCCCCTAAACCCTAAACCTTAAAAAACTATGCTCCGGTGTATTTTTGACTACGTCAGCGCCTAGTCTGGAATTTTGTACAGCAGCATGGTAGGTCATCAGCACCATCGTGGTATGACAGTTGTCGGGTCCCACAGCCCTCAATAGTTCTACAAGTTGAGTTCCAGAGAAATACACTATTCCCGGACGACGCACCGGACACTCTTTTGGAGGTTCTCAGCCCCGAAGCCATAAAGTCATAAACCCTCTTTGGATGCTGGGTTCAGGGTTTAAGCTTCGCAGCTTTCCGTGAATCTCCTGCTTTTTGAGCCCCAGACCTTCTCGAACCGAAAACGCCAAGCCCTGGAAAAGTAAGGCTGGGATGGCATAATAATAAATAAATAAATACATATATATATATATATATCATATATATATATATATATATATATACATATCTGAACATATATCCGTAAACCCTAAACCCTGAACCCTAAACCCTCAACCTCTCCAACCCTCGCTTCCCAGGCACGGCCTATTCTGGAGTCCGCCCTGGTCGGAGAGGATGGTGTCGAGATGGCTGCGCAGAAGGCGCGATGTAGGAAATGGGGGCTGAGGAGGTTTGGGTTTAGGGTTTAGGGTAATGGAGGGTTTACGATGTGTTGACTTCGGGCTTAGGATCTATGAACCATCCTAAGCCCCTACTGGGTTCTGGAGTACCATACTTGAATACTTTTTTTGGGGGACCTGTTCTTCAAGGGAACCATTATGAAATTAAAGTCTATGCCTTTTTCTCCCTGGTTACTTCAAAGTCTAGACTATAAAGCCTGAAGAATCAACCCCCGCATTGGGTTCACGAAGGTTTAGATCCCTGGAGTGCCTGACATTTTCAGCAACGGGAACAGAGCCAGCAGAACCGGAAACAGCAGGAAGCACAAAACTGGCCATAGGCCGAGCACACTAAACCCTACACTGTACGCTCCATACCCTTGAGGCTTGTAGGGCTCTGGGCCTCAGCTCTGCCCTAAACCGCACAACCTTACGCCATAAACCCCTCTGAAACCCTAACCACTAAGCTCCACCCGAAACACAAGAGACCCTGAATACCCCAAGCCCTATACCCATGAACTTTCAACCCTGTACCCCATCATATCAGCTCCTTGTGCACCCTAAACCCTAAACCCTAAACTTACCCTAAACCCTAAACCCTAAACTTACCCTAAGCCCTACACCCTAAACTTACCCTAAACTTACCCTAAACCGCAACAGCGAGGCTATCGACGAGAAGTGCGCGACCCTCGAGGAGGAGTTTGAAAGCTTCACGAAAGCCCTGGAGAGGAGTGTCTGCGGTGCCCTACTATAGGGGCCTAAATCATCACCAAGATTATTTTTGGGGGTTCCTTTTCATATTCATAGTATGATGGGCCCCAAAACCCTATTTTAGTTATGAACGCCCCTATGTTACTTAGAGGAGATAAAAGCAGGAGTTCAGAAGCAGCGCCTAAAAACTCTCAGGGTTTTGGGTTTAGGATTAGCTTGCTGACCCCTGAGCCCGAGCCTACATATTCTGTAATTATTCAGAAACCCTTAACCGTAAACTTCCCTAAACCCTAAACCCTAAACCCTAAACCCGAAGATCCTACACCCTAAACCCTAAACCCTTAACCTTAAACCCCTATGTTACACCCCTACACATTGTCCCAAGCTTCAGCCCAAGACGAGATAGGCCACTGGGATAGATGGAGAAGCCCCTATTGGATGCATATGCCGATAGGCTCCATAGTAGTTCTTTTTTGGGATTACCTTCTAGGATCCTAAATGTAAGTCACAAAAATTAAATGAACTACAAGGGAGCCTATGGGTATTGAGATGTGACTTTGTCCCTTTGTCGGCTTTGCGGGTGAATGTTGTAAACTGCTGAGTGGAAACGGGGCTGATCGTTGTTGCGCTGGTGACATAAGCCCCAAACCTCAAACCCAGCAAACCCCTTCTAGGCCTAAGATGTATCGTAGATCCTGAACCACCCTAAACCCTAAACCCTAAACCCGAAACCCTAAACCCTAAACCCTAAACCCTAAACCCTAAACCCTAAACCCTAAACCCTAAACCCTAAACCTGAACCAGCCTAAACCCTAAACCCTATACCTTTGAATTACCAGAACCCTTTGCAGCCCCAGCCCGAGCTTCGGACAGGAGCCATGCAAGAGAGAGTTTTCAGCTGACGACACCTTTCCAGCAGTGGTTTCAGGAGAAGGACCTCTGGAGGTTTGAGCTCCCCATAAACCCTAAACCCTAAACCCTAAACCCTAAACCCCTAAACCCTAAACCCTAAACCCTAAACCCTAAACTCTAAACCATAAGGCTTCGGGGTGTAGTGTTTTATGCGGTTTCGGGGTTTTGAGGTTCAGGAGTTGTGGCTTTAGGGTGCTCGGTTCTGGGTTTTTCGGTTTGGGCTGTTGTGTTTTTGGGGGCTGTGGGGTTTTTGGGGTTTGGAGAAGCCCTAAACCCTAAACCCTAAACCACAGCCCCTGGCGAGCCCCAATCTCCATCACCCTAGTATGGTTTAGGGTTTAGGGTTGAGGGATAGAAGCCAAAAGAAGTGCCAACATGATTCCTTCGGGGTCCTTATTATAAGTATAGTATTATCTGCCCCGAAACCCTCTTCTAATTATTCAGGCCCCTACATTACTATCCCTAGAGACGATGGAGCCCTAATTACCCCCCTCCCCGCCCTGCATTGCCGAAGATAGGATGCCGAAAGCGAACTTGCAGCTGCCGGCAAGGCGAGATGCATCTCTGCCTCTCGGGCATGAGGTAGAGGGTTTAGGGTTTAGGGTTTAGGGGTTTAGGGTTTAGGGTTAAGGGCTGAGGGGTTTAGGGTTTAGGGTTTAGGGTTACGGGTTTAGGGGTTTAGGGATTAGGGTTTAGGGTTTAGGGTTTAGGGTTGCGAGTTCGTCTAGGGCCTCAGGTTTAGGGCTTAGGGTTCAGAGTCCAGGGCCTAAGGTTTAGCGTTCAGGCAGGGTGCTTTTTGAACCTTTGTCATGGTATCCCCTCACCCTCCCTTTTTACGGTACTGCTGTACGCCTATGCAATCCTCCCCCAGTTCTCCAATCAGTTTTTTGTGGGAGTGGCCCCGTCAATGGAAATCGAAACCGGTGCTCGATATTAGTGGGTGATTTGTTGTTACTTGCTGTCACCTTTGGAGTGCTTATAGTTAGGACTCACATGTTGAGTGCCCATCCAAGAGAAAGAGACGGGGTCGGCTTGACTCGCCCCTTAAGGTTGGGAGGGAGGGAGAGAGAGAGAGCAGAGACGTAACATCCCCCCCATCCAAAGTAGGTTTCAATCGGCGGGGATGAGGTGTATTATCGTGAACGTTTCTTAGCTTTGCGGGGGGTTCCAAACAAAGGAGGAAGTAGTGCTCTCGCCGCCCTCGCCAGCATCGATTGTTGTCTTTGCCAACGCGTCTAGATGCCCCAAATCCTAAACGAAAACTCTAAAACCTTAAAGACAGCAGCAAACTAAATAAAGCTCTGCCGACCCCTTATAAACGCCTTTATGAGCTCTTATAAGAGGCTGAGGATGTCAATGTAAATAAAGGCTCTTCAGGACCCTCTGACACAACTTGATTGACACAAACCCTTAAGAAGATGGAGATAAGGAGCGCTGAGGAACCCCAAAACCACCAAAAAGCTGTGCTAAACCCTGCGCCCGTTCACAGACTCTGAACCGCTTTGCTCCACGAGGATAGCCGGCAGAAGGGAAACACCCTCAAACCAAGAGCTGCTCTTAGAGAACCCTCAAAATTTCTACCACAAATCCAAAAGGTGAGGATGGCCGGCGGTGGCCCCTAAGCCCTAAACCCTAACCTCCTTTCAGAAGCTGAGGATAGCCGGCAGAAGAGGAACAAGATCCAGGGAGAGTTGATCTCCGCATGGGACTTGGCTCCTCAGCAGCGACTTCTGGAGCGTAGGTTGTTTGTTACGGGTTCGTTTCAGGGTTCCCTTGGATATTTGGGGCTTTATAGGTTTGTGATTAGGAATCAGGGCTTAGGTATCTCGGTATCAGTTAGGGCTTCAGCTTCGGCATAAAGGTTTAGGTTTTAGTTGTTACCTATAGTCTCCATTGTAGTTCCTTTTTTTGGTTTAACCAATTCTATATTAAGGATTCTATAAGGTAACCCCAAAAAGGAACTACAATGGAGCCTATAGGTAGGCTCTGGATTATGTCTGACATAATCTCTCTGCAGAGCCCCTGGATGAAAGAAAAGCCACGGTTTAGGGTTTAGGGTTTAGGGTTTAGGGAGTGACCGAAAGTCGTGTCCAAGAAGTAGGTGACCAGCAGCTGCCAAAAGTCAACTAAGAAGTAGGTTACTAGTAGTTTGTATCCCAGTAACCAAACTTTCAGTCTTTCAGGTGACCGGAGGCAACTTGTAGCCACTTGCCACAAGATAATTCTTGACTCGCTCGTCTATTTGCTGACCCGAAACCCTGAACCCTAAATCCTAAGCCCGGAACCCTAAACCTAAAACCCAAACCGTCTAACCAATACCTCCGACAATTTCCCGGACCTCCAGAAAAGGACGCCCCAAGCCGTTGCTTCAAAACTTCGCCCAGCCTCCAGCGCTTTCCTATTCCAGGCACAGCGCCTCTTCAAGATCGTGGAGGCGGGACACCGCGCACCCAAAAGGCTTGCATCCTGAAGCCAGAACCTTACGGACGAGAAGAGCCCTAAAAGGGCTTAAGGTTCATATTATGTAGGGGTTCATAGTATAAGGGAATAGGGCCCCTACTTTTGGGCTTCTTTTTGCCCTTAAGGCAACAGTAACCCTAAACTTGACACAGTAAGATCTTGCTGGAGCTCAGTTCCTTTCGCCGCCAGATTCCCAACGACTCCAAGCCCTGCCGCTGCGTGGGTTTAGGGTTGAGGGTTGAGGCTCACCTGGCACCGCAAGCTGCATCCTAACCTTAAGGACGAAAAGAACCCTAAAAGTAGGGCCCTATACCCTTATACTATGAATCCCTATATGGCGTATGAACCTTAAGCCCTTTTAGGGGCTCTTCTCTTCCTTAAGGATACCCACCCCCGTGGAGGCGCAGAGTGCTGGTGTGCCCAATGAAGATCGCTGCAAGGCGGGATTGTGCTGGATTTGGGCATGTGGGTTTGACCAGGGCGTAGGTCTACCGCTCAGCGTATGTACTCGATGCATCTGTATTCTGCAAGTCTGAAACATAGATTCGAGTCGAGGTTTTATGCAGGATTCACAACTAAGGAAGGAGGCGAGCCGCGAGAATTACAACACAAGACGAGAAGCAAAGCTGAGGTTGCGGAGTGTTCGTCAACAACATTCGTTGCTTGTATGTGTTTTGCTGCGACGGGAGGTCGCGGTGGTGCTTGTGATCGTGGCGCTGGTGATGGGGGTCGCCCGGGTGGCGGCGGCTGTGGCGGTTGCGTTGGGTAGCCGCGGCGGCGGTGGTGGTGGTGGTGGGTGGGGGTGGGGGTCGGGCTGGCGGTGGCGGTGGCGGTGGCGGCGTTGATGTTCGTGTTGGTGATGGTGTTGCTGCGTTTGTCGCAGCATGTGTTGCGGATGTTGCTGTTGCGCTGCTGTCCTCGTTGCTAGTCTGCTGGGGATCTACAAATAAAAGTTGGTGGGTTACAGGAATGGCAGTGTGAGAGGCAAGGCCAGGATAGAGACTTGAAGCCCAAAGCGCTCATTGTGCTGGGTTTCGGGCCACTCGCTTCAAATTAAAATTCCCCATATAGACTCTACATACCTTGAGGTGCATCGCGTGGACCCGAGCATGCCAGTGGTTACCATGCCGCTAGCATCTTCGCAGCACATTGGAGCTTGGATCGGTTTAGGGCAGTTGTGGTTAAGGAGTCCCTATACCCTAAACCCTAAACAGGATTATACTGGTAACTTCAGCCTATAGAGGTCTTCACACGTTTAGGATGTTTCGGGATAAAAGTTTACGGCAACTTCCCAGAAGGTCGCAGCCTGGAACGGCGTAGGGCTTCGGGTGTTTCAGGGCCAAGGTGTGTAGGGCAGTTAATGGGTTGTAGTTGGCTAAGATGCCTAATATAGGGGCTTAATAATTACCCATCTTTTTCCATATCTTAATTATATTTTAATTTTCATATAGCCCAACAGCCTATTCTGCTTATTAAGGCCCCTGTCTTAAGGCTGAACACTCAAGGGTGGGTGTTAGGACTGAGGGTTTCAGCGTATGGAGTTAGGGTGTAGGGTCAAGGGCTCTCCGCTTGAGCTGTTCCTTGCTTTGAAACTTTTAATGAAACCCTCAACCCCTTAAGGCAGCATTGTATATCTTAACCCACCAAAACCCACTTTTTGTAGGTTCTTATCATAAACCCTAGTATGGGATTTATAGGGACCCTACCAAAATCTAGGTTCTGGGTGGTTAAGGTATATGGGTTACACCCAGCATGTGACCAATGGGTCGGAATGAACCCTTACTATCATGATAGGATAAAAGGATAAAAGCCGCCACATCCTGAGTCTAGTCATTTCTGACCCTAAGCAGAAGGATGCGTTGAGGGTTTAGGGCTTAGGGTTTAGGGTTTAGGGTTTAGGGTTTAGGGCCGCAATTGGGGTATAAGGACTTGTACAAGGAACATGTTCAGCGAGACCCGTCGGCTGGGACAGGGGCGTATGGAGAAGTTTTCCGAGCGCACCTGCTTTTGAGGGCACCGAAGCGGCCCTGATGTCACCTAAAGAGCCTGCGTGCGTCCAAACAAATGCATCTTTTTTTAAGGTGCACTTCAAATGATTTTTAAAAATCACCACGTTGAGCATTCACAAAAAGCTTCCGTTGCAAAGTGGAAAGAGCACCGGTCCCACCAGGCACAGGGAAATCTGACGTGCCGAGCATTCACAAGCGTTTTCGTTGCAAAGTGCGAATTTCATTATAGTCATTATAGTACAATATACTCCAAAACTCTATTCTGATTATTAAGGCCCTCTATAATTAGAATGAAGACCGGTGAGACGCCTCTGCCAAGTCCGTGCTGGTCAAAAGCCAAAGCCGTGAGCCAGGATGACGAGAACTGGAACATAATATAGGGGCCTTACAGAATTAGAATAGGGTTTTGGGGTATAGCATACTATAACTATAATAAGGAACCCGCAAAATAGAATAGGTAATTATTAAGGCTCTATATATTACACCCGGCAGTAGCAGCTTTGCATGGAGTATGGAGCAGCTAGAAGAGCACCAAATCTGCAGCAGTGCCCACGCCTGTCATTGACATTGCTGCAGACTCTGCGGCTCTGGTCCCTTTTCTGCAAGCTTCCTCACGTCTTAGTATGTCTTCGGGAGATCGTGCAAAGTTAGTGGACAAATGCAAGGACGACTATCCCGGCGTCGGTGTGTGTCCGTTGGTTCTCCCCAGCCTCAAGTTTTTGCAGGCTGGTGAATCTCGGTGCAGCAACCATTCCCGGGAATGGACCCCGTGGCTCAAAATCAGCATTGAAGCTGCTGCCGTAAAGCTATGTGACAAGAAGACGCGCGGGAATATGTCGTTCCGTAAACCTCAGTAGCCCTAGATCCTGCCACAAAATAAATGATCAGCGCTAAAAGCCCCTTAACTACTCCCTACTTCAAACCCTGCAACCCAACACAGGGGCCCCAATACTCAGTTAGAATCGCCCCGTATCCTCCTTGATCTACTTGGGTGGTTGTCAAAATTATGGTCCCTTTTTGGGTCCTTTTTATAATACGGCACCGACTATTTAGGGTACCCCAAAAGGGACCATCATTTTGACAACTACCCACTTATAGTCTAAAATTGATCCTACCCTAAACCCTAAACCCTAAACCCTAAACCCTAAACCCTAAACCCTAACTTCTAGTGATTCAGGCCCCGCTGCCAAGACAGCAAACCCTGGACCCCCGTAATCCCTCTGTGCCCTAAACCCTAAACCCTATAGGCTTAAAGAAAAAGCCCTAAACCCTATAAACTTCAAAAAACCCTAAACCTCAAACCCCATAAACTGTAAACAAAAAGCCCTAAATCCTAAACCCTATAAACTTAAAAAGACCCTAAACCCTAAACCCTACAGACTTTAAAAAAGCCCTAAACCCTAAACCCTATATGTTTAAAAAAAGACCTAAACCTTAAACCCTATAAACTCAAACAAAAGCGAAAAACCAGGTTGGCTCGAAGCCCTCCTCGAGAAGATCCTCCAAAAACACCGCCGGGGAAGGCTCTAAAGAGGCGACTTAGCAGAAGTTTGCGCTTAAGAAAAGGGGGTTCTTAATAATTACCCATACTATTTTGCGGGGTTCCCTTATTTAATAATGGTATAATGACCTTATTCTAATTATTATAGACGTCTCCTGATTTAGGGTGTACCTTAACCCACCAAAACCCACTTTTGTGTAGGTTCTTATCAGGGTCTATTTATAGGGACCCTACAAAAAAAGTAGGGTTCTGGTGGGTTAAGGTAGGGGTCTTAATAGTTCCCTGTACTAGTTTGGGGGGTTCCTTGGTGGGTTCCTTATCATAGTTATAGTATAATCTCCGCCCAAATCCGTATTCTAATTATGAAGGCCCCTTCATTACGCATAGGGCCTCAGGGTTCTATGATTTTTTAGGGCTCTAAACCCTGAACCCTAAACCTTAGGGTGGATATATCTACGAACTGACGAGGGTTGTTGAGTTTTGGGGATGTACATTATAAGCCTAGGGGGCTGCAAGTTTTAGAGCACTACTCCTGCTCTATATTATCTGAGTGGCGACTTCTAAACTACTATAGAGCCGTCTCCTCCTGACAAATTCCATCGGTGTTTAGGATCTGGCAACACAAGCCCGCAGTTTCAAAATCCTAGGCTCTTGAAGTCCTAACAGCTGTAGCACGCTATACCCTGGACTGAACCCAATAGCCCTTAACCATAATGGGGACCGCATTATGTTGGGTTTATGTTGGAGTTCTTTCTTGTCTGCAACTCCCGCAAGAGCTATACCCTAAACCCTACATGGGGCGTATAGCTTTGTGGTTAGAGGGTTGACGGAAGCGTAACCCAGTTCCTTAGTTTATTTGGCCGCTCCAGGTTTAGGATGGTACTGGTATGGCGGGTGTGGTTTGGATTTGCAGAATTATAATTATACTTGACTTTACGCAAGAGTGAAGGGTTATGGAGCAGCTGCTGAGCATGAGCCAAGCTAGAGGCCCAAAATGGACGCCTCTCTTGTGCGCAAGCCCTTCGTGTACACTTAGACTCTATTCATTTTCGGAAGCCTGCTCGTGGGCCCCAAATCAACGCGAAAACCGACTCATTCTCTGACAGTGTGCTTGTACAGCCTGACCCTAATATAGGGGCCTAATTAACTAGAATAGGGTTTGGGGTATAGTATACCATAATTATCATAAGGATCCCCCAAAGAACCCTATTCTAATTATGAAGGCCCCTACCAGAACCTACTTGTTTGTAAGGTCCCTATAATCCCATATTAGGGTCTATCATAAGAACCTACAAAAAAGTGGGTTTTGGTGGTTTAAGGCACCTAAGCCCTAAACCCTAAACCCTAAACCCTAAACCCTAAGACCCTAAACCCTAAACCCTAAGACGCTAAATCAGGAGACGTCTCCGCGCACGTTGGCTGGCAAGATCGCGTCGCTCCTCGTGGGACTGCCGGACCCACCGCTGCGATCCGATGCAAAGGTGCCTTGCTTTTGTTGAAGAGGGGTGGAGGTTTAGGGTTCAGGGTTTAGGGTTTAAGGCTTAGGGTTTAGGTTTTAGGGTTTAGGGCTTAGGGCTTATAGGGTTTAGGGGGTTTAGGGGGTTTAGGGTTTAGGGTTTAGGATTGGTTTCTTGAAAAGTGGTGGGGGGGGGTGGAGGTGAGGTTCGGGGGAGGCAGGCGTGCAGCAGGGAGTGTTGAAGATGCTCGACTGTTGCACTCTATCGCTTGAGGCTGGTACGGTATCACACGTTTCCGGGTTTTAACCCTAAACCCTAAACATAAACGGCTGGAAAGATGGGCGAGTGTGTCGTCCGGAGTCTTTTCATACTGCGATGATACTCGGACAACACCTACTGAGAAACGGGAGTTTCTGAAGATATGGGCCATAACGCTCGGTATGCCATACTTAGGGTTTAGGGTTCAGGGTTCAGGGTTTAGGCTTATTTGAGGTTTGGGCCATAAAACCTCGTTTAGGCTTGATGTGGTCCGTCAGTGTGCGCCCGAAGTCTTCGAAACCCTCCATGTGGGCGACCTGACCCTCACTCAAGGTGGCCCTGCAAGCCTCAAAATCCAATAGATAGATCCCTGTTAGATGACACTCTTTAGGATCATTGTGATTAGATTTCTTATTAAGGTAAGGAGGTTCAATGAGAAAGGGTCGACACCACATTAAAGCATAAATTCTGCAGGGAAGGGCTACGGAGCGCTGAAAAAAGCTGAGCTTTAGAAGGTGGAGACGACAGGGTGCTTGACATTTCAGCAATAGGTGGCCGCGAGTTTCGGGCTTCCGAGATTTTCGAACATTGGGCTTAGGGTTTAGGGTTTGAGGTTTCGGGTTTAGGGTTTTAGGGTTTAGGGTTTAGGGTTTTAGGGTTTAGGATTACTGTTTGGGGGTTGGAGCTTTAGTTGTGGGAATTTTGGTGGCAGTTCAGGGATTACAGTACGGCTTAAGGCCCTTGAGTTGCTCAAAGATGGAACCATTTTATGGCATCGTGTTTTGCTGACACTGGGGCGCTTAAGTTCGGTTTGGTCTTGGAGCTCAACAAATCGAAAAGTTCCCCTAGCCTATCCTAAAACCGCTGTCCCCCATAAACCCCCACACCTCGAATCCTATGAGATCCATGCTTTCAATAGAGCCGAAACAGCCTGAAACGCCCTTATAGAACCGGTACAACAAAACTGCTATAAAAACCCTCAGCACTTGATCAGGATATTCGCGAGCAGCTGTGCAAGACGCCTGTGCAACCTTCCGGCCAAGATACTCTGCAGCCTCCTGGCGGCTTGGGGGTTCGAGCCGGCTCTTGTAGAAGGTGGGACTTAGAGGGTTTAGGTAAGTATTAGGTTTAGGGTTTTAGGGTTTAGGGTTTAGGGTTTTTGAGAGAAAGGCAATATTAGTTTCAGAGGGCTTCGGCGAGTAGGGGGTATTGGAATGAAGGATGTAGAGGCTTGCGCAAGCCTGCACATAAACCTTAACTCTCAATACCCCAAACCCTAGACCGCTGAAGCCCTAAACCCTGAACCCGCAAGACCTGATAAAGAAGCTTGAAACAGACCATGGTAGTATTCGTTAGCCTTAGGGCTCCTTATCAGAGCTAAGGTATATCTTATGCCCCCTTAACCCCTTTTCTAGTCAAAACGGCCTCTACCAAAAAAAAGCAGCTCCGGCGATCGCGTGCTTAAGCCACGCTTTTTCTTTTTAGAGTTTATAGGGTTTATAATAGGGTTGTTCAGAGTTCAAAGTTAGGAGTGCAAGCCCCGAAACATCCAAGTACCTATACACGGCAGGACATTGACACAAACCAGAAACTCAACACTCAAGAGAAGGACATACGCATCAAAAGAGAAAACGCACCACCCTTAGACACTTTCTACTTTGCCCCCAAAAATCGAAAGCTACAGAGGCCTCGAAGTTAGTCTTTAAACCGTATGAACCTTACACCCGAAACCCTAAGTAATCCTACACCCTAGACCCCAAACCCTGAACCCTCAGAAAACAAACAAACCTAACAAACCCTAAACCCGAAACCCCACCCTATACCCCAAACCCTAAACCCTCAAAAAACAAATACCCAAACCAAGAAACCCCAAACCTTAAACCCCAAACCCTAAACCCCAAACCCTAAACAACCCTAAACCCTAAACCCTAAACCCCAAAACAGAAGCCCTCAACAACAACAACAACAACAACAACAACAACAACAACAACAAAACAAAACAGAAGCCTTAAGGAAACCGTAAACCCTAAGAACCCCTGAAAACCCCTAAACCCTAAACCCCAAAACAGGAGCCCTCAACAACAAAAAAAACAAACCAGAAGCCTTCAAGAAACCCTAAACCCTAAAAAAAACCCTAAACCCCAAACCCCAAAAAACCCTAAACCCTAAACCCTAAACCCCAAAAACCGAAGCCCCTGATGCTCCGCTCCAGGCCCTGCCGACCCAGCGCCCCAACGCATCGGCCCACGAGCGCGGGCTTCGCGCGAAGCCGGGCGAGCAGCGAGACTTGGCGGGTTTAGGGTTTAGGGTGTAGGGTTTATTTAGGGTGTAGGGTTTATTTAGGGTTTAGGGTTTAGGGTTTAGGGTTTAGGGTTTAGGGTTGAGGGTTTAGGGTTTTTGACGGGTTCTCTGAGGACCCCTTTTTGGGGATTCTGTACCAGTTGGGG